AGCATAAAAACTCCGAGGTCCGCGCGGATTCCTCGGATCCGCGCTGGACCCCTCTGGCAGCGCCTCTGGCGCCGCCCCTGGCGCGCTCCGCGCGCCAGGGAGGGGGGTCCAGCGCCGATCCGAGAAATCCGCGCGGACCTCCGAGTTTTCATGTTTATGCCATTCTTCGTTCCCTGAACTCCTTCCTGTCCGCAGTAAAGATCGCGAGGGGACTCGAGTCCCCGCTCGCTGTCTCTGGCGCCGCGCGAAGACCCCGCCAGGCGGCAAGGGGCTGGCACCGGCGCCCCTGTGGCCCGAGCTCGCGCGGAGAGCCAGCGCAGACCGGTCAGCGAGCAACCGTTTTCAAGTACCCCAGGTACTCTCGAGCTTGACTGAGCTTGCCGCCCCCACCTTTCTTGGCGAAACCGCCAGGAAGACTGGGGGGGGGGGTCGCGGGGGCCCCTGGCGGCGGGGACCTTGTCGCTGCTGCGCAGCAGCCGCTGGGAACTTCACACCGCGTTGACTTTGAGGGGGGAGACCCAAAAACACCGATGCCGTTACTCCCGGGTCTCTCCCGGGGCGCGTGCTTAATAATTGACCAGGATGCCGGGGCGGACCCAGCGGTGGCGACGAGGATCTCCCGGGAGGCCCTGGAGCGGGAAGACGGGCGGATGGCAGCCGTAGGGGTACATTGTCCTCCTCTGATTTTAAGGATGCGGAGGGGCATCTTTCTTTCTTTCTTTCGGCACAGCCTAAAGCGCCTCAGGCGCTGGCAGATGAATACGGCAAAGCTGGATCTAACCCTGGATCTAAAGTCTCCTGCGCTTGGTACGTGAATCAGACTCAATCAGCCGTCTGGCACATGATGCACATTCCTCCAAAGCAATAGCCTCCGCAATAGCCTCCGCAAGGAGGGGCATCTTTGGCCGCTTCCTGCTTTCTCGCCAGAGTTCCTAGATGCAAAGATGAGCGCTGCTCGGCAAGGCGTCCCTTTGGTCGCGGGGTCCAAGACAAAAAGGGCCGGAGAACCAGAGGCTCGCCTCGGTGCGTCAGTGGCCCGCCAGGTCACCATAAGTCGGGCTGACAAAATAAAGAGGCCCAAGGACACAAATAGACACACACAAATCCAAGGATCACCACCACCACCACCGCCATCACCATCACCATAACAATCACCATCACCAGAACCATTATCATCATTAACATCATCATCATCATCAGCAGCAGCAGCAGCAACAGCAGCAGCAACAGCAGCATCATCAGCATCATCATCATCTTTTCTTCATCCTCATCCTCATCCTCATCCTCATCCTCATCCTCATCCTCATCAGCATCAGCATCATCAACATCAACATCAACATCATCATCAACATCATCATCAGCAGCAGCATCATTATCTTACTCATCATCCTTATCAGCATCATCACCATTCAACATATTCATCAGCAACATCCTCATCCTCATTCTCGTTAGCATCAACATCATCATCAGCATCAGCAGCATCGCCGTCGTCGTCATCATCGTCAGCAGCATCAGCATCATCATTATACGCATCCTCATCCTCATCCTCATCCTCATCACCATCATGGTCATCATGGCCATCATGGTTATCATCGTCAGAATCGTCATCATCGTCATCATCATCATCATCATCAGCATCATCACCATCGCCATCATCATCACCATCATAAGCAGCATCATCTGCATCAGCATCAGCATCAGCATCAGCATCATCATCACCATCTTCATCATCATCACCATCACCATCAACATCACCATCACCATCACCATCACTATCACCATCACCATCACCATCACCATCACCATCACCATCATCAGCATCAGCATCAGCATCAGCATCAGCATCAGCATCATCATCATCATCATCATCATCATCATCATCATCATCATCATCATCATCATCATCATCGCCGTTGTCGCCATCATCCTCAAGGATTCTGGCACACCCCTCACACGCTTCGTGGCCCCATAGAGAGCTCCATAGAAAGGAACCATTGGCACAGTCCGCATGGCGTACCCGCATCCGATTTGGCACACCCCTCACACGTTTCGTGGCCCCATAGGGAGCTCCACCGAAGTCCCCAGTGGAACAGTCCGCATGGCGTACCCGCATCCGATGTGGCACACCCCTCACACGTTTCGCGGCCCCATAAAGAGCTCCACCGAAGGCTCCAGTGGCACAGTCCGCATGGCGTACCCGCATCCAACTCGGCACACCCCTCACACGTTTCGTGGTCCCACAAGGAAGTCCACCGAAGGCTCCAGTGGCACATTCCGCATGGCGTACCCGCACCCGATGTGGCACACCCCTCACACGTTTCGTGCTCCCATAGGGAGCTCCACCGAATGCTCCAGTGGTACAGTACAGTCCGCATGGCGTACCCGCATCCGATTTGGCACACACCCCTCACACGTTTCGTGGTCCCATAGGGAGCTCCACCGAAGGCTCCAGTGGCGCAGTCCGCACCGAAGGCTCCAGTGGCACAGTCCGCATGGCGTGCCAGCATTCAATTTGGCACACCCCTCACACGTTTCGCGGCCCCACAGCCAGCGAGCTCCACCGAAGGCTCCAGTGGCACAGTCCGCATGGCGTGCCAGCATTCAATTTGGCACACCCCTCACACGTTTCGCGGCCCCACAGCCAGCGAGCTCCACCGAAGGCTCCAGTGGCACAGTCCGCATGGCGTACCCGCAT